CATATTTCTGTAGATAATGTTTGTGTATGATATATACAGTATTTACAGTCTGTACTTTGCATCTAGATCACACAGAAACAAGTGAGACCATGATCCCCATCCCACATAGTGTGGGTGGTGTGTGTAAAATCTATGCAGGCGAAGTAATTGAAGATTACAGACACTTTAAGGGTGAGAGCATTTTGGACAGTGGAAAAAAATAATTCTGGTTTTTAGGCTTTTTTTATTTCAGACTTTCTGACTTCATTAGAAAAGGTAAAGCAGTTCATGCTTTAATGCACCCACACTTTTCCTTCTTCTGTTCACTTTTTTCTTGAGTTTTGGTTTGTTTTTTTGTTTTTCTTTTCTAAATATTTGGTTGTTAATGATGCTGGGTACCTGCTTATCTGGTGTGTAATAGACATACATGTTCCTCGTTACATGCATTTGTAAAAAGGAACTTGGAATGATTTTTGCCTGAACACAACTAGATTTGCTTCTGTACAAATAATATAAATGAAATAATCTTAATTATTTTGGCTCATGCTAGAAAAGATTCAGGACAAAGGGGAGATTGATGCAGTGTGCCTTACAATGGCCCTACTGATTTCTCTACTGGCCCTTCCTCTGCACATGGTCAATTAGAATTGAAAATCCTGTGCTGATTTCATTCGCTGGAATTTTTAAGCAGGTCAGGAAGAAAGATGTTATTGAAAGGAAAAGTCTCATCTAAATAAGAAAAGAACACGTGGCCATCTGGTCTAACTGTACCATGCCGAAAGTCGTTTTGGCTCAACTGTAGTTTGAGCTTTGCAGCAGTTTGGCAAAATAACGCAGAGAAATCTGTTTACATTAAAACACTCTGTGCTTTTTATCTATAAAAATGCAATGCATGGTTCTCTTCCTATCTGTAATTACATGAGCTTATTTGACCCTATTACCTTATTGAGACTCTTTCTGGTAGGCTCTCAAATTACTTCTGCTGTGTAAAGGTATAAGTGAAACAACGTTTTCTGAAAGTTTTGGAAGTAATCCTGAGCTCTTTATTCTTATGGCGAAAAGTTACACTTCTGCTTAGACTAGGAAAAACTCAACCAAGCAGATGCAACAGAGGAAGTATGGGGGAAGAGGGGAGAGGAGAATTTAAAAACAGAAATTGAAACTTGAGGTTTCTGCAAGTAACACCATGGAGTTTGCACAACCAATTGAAGGCCATACACTTAAGAGATGAGCTGTAACAGACATAAATTTCTTAGGGAATGGAGTAAAAAATATGCATAAACTTCCGTGATTGCTTTGTTTCAACATCAGTTATTTGAAAGTTTAAATAAGTCAGCAAAAAAACTCAGGTCAGAATTTTTCACATTTAGATGAATAAACTGTTTGTATAAAAAGCTGAAACACATAGCTCCAAATCTCGGGTGCCTGGAAAACAGCAGCTGGAGGGTAATATCGTATTTACAAAAATTACTGGGCATTTATATCTCCTATCTACTTAAGCCAAAACTGTTGAACTCCCAGCATTCACAAAACCCAAGAGACTTTACTGGAAGAAGGGGAGAGTGTTGAGCTAAACATGGAGGCAAGGGCCATGTATGCGTATGCTCAGGTTTAATGCTTTATGTGAGTAGTTGTTGGTTTTGCACTGGTAAACAATAAATAAGTTGCCAGTTGAAAATCCCTTATAATAAAAGGAATTATGTATATGACTTCTAAAGTTTAGAGGAATTGATTTGCATAGGATTTCAGTCTTTAGGAAATGGATAAAAATATATGGTTGGTTATTGTCATTACCTTTAAGAAAACACAAGTCAGCACTTCAAAATGTAGCTGCAGGCATTATTTTGAAACACATTTGTGAAACATAAGTAACAAATTTTGTTTTTCAAGTATAATATGCCAGCAAAAGTAGAAAGGAATTTAGCATGTTAATACTAGTGAACATGTGTATATGCATATACATGTAACTTACAAGTATGTACTTGTCATATGACCACTGTGCTGAGTTTGCCTGTATATTTCATACAAGGTACCTAAATGTTTCTTCAGAAAAGTGATAAATCTGTTGTTTAAAGAAACCCCAAACAATCCATAAATACAAATTTGACAGCAGCAAAATTCATTCCACCCATTTCTCTGAAATCTCTTTTCTAGTATATTTACCTTGCCTGTGGATATTGTTGCCACCACATGTAACCTTTTGTTTGTATGATTCTACTGTTATTTGGAAGGGAAGATCTCTCTAAGACTAAATTTGTGGGACACTTATGCTGAGTTCCTTTTTCTTAATAGCAATATATTTTTGTTTTATAAAGCAAACAAAAACAAATGCCTATCTTTCTATTACGATACCTGTTAATGTGACTAAAATATTGTTTAAGCCTTTCCGGGACTAAATTAGAAGCAGTATACGTATGCATGTGTTTAAAAATGTTTTTCCTTTTGAGTCTTTTTCTGCCCAAAATACATAGTGAAAAGCAGAAAATAATTGCCATGTGCATCATGCCATACTTTGTACCAAAAGACAATGCAGTTTCAAAGAACTTTCAGAAAATAGGTCTGCACACCATACATTTAAAAAATAAATAGAATAAATGCTTTGAATCTCCCTTTTCCCTGTATGCCTCTGCTAACCCCACCCATAGCCACACCAAACGGAGAGCAACTATTTTGGGGAGTACCGCATTCCCAAGACTAACTTTCTGGCACGATGGCACTGGGCCAGTCAGCATTTCTCTGGGCTGTGGCAACAGGAAGGCGGAGGAGGCTTGTGAGGCCAGCTAGCTAGTCCCCTGCCACGCTCCCCTTCTGTGGCTTGAAGACAACCTACTTGTGAAGCATTTCACTACTATCTTGTTTAAAACTGCCACAAAACTGTCTAGGAGATCTTGCTAATCTCTCTAAACCCAAATATATTTAAATGTTGCAGTTTGACTGCCTTTTAGACGTAGGTCTGTGTACACCATCTATTTGCCTTTAGTGTAATTTGTACATATACAAAATCTGTTCATAGTATTTGAGCTACATGGCAAATTATGTAAGTGATGCATGAACTTAACATAAAATACTGCATTGACTGTACAGCTAGAGTGTAAACCACTGTAAAATGGGGAACAGTGGATGCCCTTATTTACACTGTTAGAACGTGCGTGCACCCATGCACATGTTTTGTACAATAAGGTGCATATCTATGTTTGCAAAGTTTCTTATTTCATATTTTCTTGCAAATCACAATCAAGTTGAAACCAAGCTTGGCCGACATAAGGAAGAAAGGCTTGTGTTTGCCTTTAATCTTTCTGCAACGCGGTTCAGACTTCTGTCTGATCTGCACATAGCAGAGTGAGGGGCTTGCCATGCATTGCGTACAGGCTCCTTGATTGTGGAGGGAAAAAAAAAAGAAATCTGGCTGGAATCCAGACAGGCGAGCGCAGTGCTCTGTTGATCATTGTGTCTAGCCTTCAGGTGTCTCAGCTCACAGTGGGCGGCGGTTGGGGGAGGGGGAGATAACAGGAGGGCAGACAAAGAATAAAATGGTGTATTTTTTTTTTAAAAAAAGGTAAAACATTCATGTCAAATTCTTAAAAAAATATATCTTTTTTTTTTAAAAGGGGTTCTTTTAACGTTCCTTTTCCCGCAGTGGGAGCAAGCAAACATCTGTGCAGGAAGATTTATTTAAGCCATAATTAGTAGCGTCTGGAGTCTTTCAGCAATTTCTCCTTATTGCACTTATTTTCTTTTCATTTTTTTAATTATTTTAAAGCATTCTGCTCATTTTTCACTTAGAAACTGTTTTTACTTCATGCTTTATTAGAGATCCAGCCCAGCCAGGACAGAGTCAGATTTCTATTGTCTTTGCTTTTTCCCTTCTGATGGTAGTTTTCAGAATCTAACTTTTGGTAGGGGAGAGAGGGGTGGGAAGAAGCATGCAGTCAGGGGGGAAAGATCTTATTAAAGGTCTCGTGAACACGTGGGGGCAGAGAAAATGAACAAAAATGCAAATTAGTGCTTCTTATTACACAGTTACTCCTTTGGGTTCAATTTCTTTTCCTGAGAAGAAGGAAGGGGGGGGAAAAAAAAAAAAGGCAGCTCTGCTTTGTCTGTTGCTTCTGTTTGAGAACTCTCATAAATCTTGCCCAGAAAGCAACTTGGGCTTAAGGAGATCTGGCCAGCAAAGCTCTGGGAAGCAATTGCAATGTCTCTTGCTATAGATACTCTCTTCTTTCTGCCCCCGCTGCCCCTTCCACCCCGACCTTCTGACGTTATGCTGCCAAGAACCCCACACCCTTTCCCACCCTGCCAGGAATCCGAGTGAATGCAAGCTGCTATCGAGAGGTAAAGTTGCTTATCAAAAAGCCTCTCCTTGTGCTGAGTGAGTCCAGATATTATGTTAGCTGTGTTTTTTCAGTCCAGCCATAACCCTTTCCTAACACTCCCCTCTGTTGGCTTGCCTCTCCCCCTCCCCCCGTGGAAAGGGGTGGGATGGGAACCTTGCTCGACTTCATTGTTCCAAATGTAAGAGCTATTTGCCCCAAAGTGTCTTCGCTGTCTTTCATAGCTAATTATAATAACTGTCAGATGTCTGGAAAGTCTGGGCTGCCCTTGCTGGCAGAGTTAAAGTTTGCCTTTATTTTTTTCCCCTTGGGGACAGATCGGGCCTGATTAGACACAGAGTACAAATAAAAGTGAACAACATACGTGTGTCGGGCTTTTTGTCTTTGTTTTTCTTTATGAACAAAGCAGCATGCTGGCTATGTCAGGAAGCAGTGTGGCATGCAGTGTGCATGCAGGCACTGCCCTGGAGGATAACTCTTTCTTTTTTTTTTCTTTTTTTATTTTTTCTGTTTTTCTCTTTTTTTTTATTGAAGAATACAAAAATTCCATCTGAATTTGAATAACGCTTTAGCTACTTGTTCATCTCATCAGAAAAAGTAACCATCAGTTCAGTTGCAGACAGCATTTTAACAATTTTAAGAGATTTGCATTTCTGGGTAAATATAAAAATAAATAGACTCCGTACTCACAGTTTTGCTGTGCTGTGCAGGTCGCTGTCTCCTTCTACAGAGACAAGGAGGGTCGGATGATGTCAAGAGTGCAGAATCCCAGTTTAATTCAGGAGAAATATTACAAATGCGCTTCCTGAAGTCGCCTGGAAGTCAGCCACTTGTGCTCAGACATCCCATTGCTGCTCTGCACGCTATACTATCTGCAGTTCTGAATTGAACTAAATACTGCCCATGTGAAAGACAGGGGAAACACAGTCATGTGGGACACACAAATCCACTCTATTGGCTCCGAAGGCACAACTTCAGCATTCTTGCATTTCCACCATTGGCTAACAGTTCAAGCTGAAAGTGTCTAAGTCCTCCTAGTGAGTCCGTTTTCCCTTTATGTGTGGAAGAATGACTGTAGGATTTTACAGTGACAGGATTAGTTAAGAAAGGGACTGAAGTCATCCCTTTGACTGAAGCTGGTGGGTGGGGATTGGAAGCTGTGCTTTTCTCAAGTCGACGTTTTTCCTTTTTCTGCCTGCGCTCTGGGTGTCAGGAAATGCTTGCAGTTAACTTGGGCAGCACAGAGAAACTGAAGTGACTTAGTTCAGGGCTAGGGACTTGACTTTTTAAGTAATGCAGTGCTACAGGTTGTACAATGATTTTTGCAGGAATAACTCTATTCTGGCTGGCTAAAGTGTGGTTATTTTCTCCTTTCTAGACTTTTTTTTTTTAAGCCCAGAAAGGGCTTTATCAGGATCACATAACTGGAGCTTTTGCATCACACAAGCCAGACAAATAAATCCAGCAGTTCCAATTAGCATAGACTAATAATTTGAATGACAATAGAAAATACATTTAACATAACTTTTGGATCGCTGGGGAATATACTGATGTGGTCATAATATTTTAAAAGAAGCAATAAATTCAATAAAAATCTATGAAGATATTTGGATATTTTGAGAATAATTAAATTATAAAGATTAAATAGGAGGGAAGAAGATTGGCTATTCCCTATTTTGGTGTTCTGTCATTTGCCTGATTTAGTTATGCCAGCATGAGCAGTTATTTGAAATGGTACTCAGTCATGTGTGACATACTTCTCCAATTAACCCTCATTAAAAAGACCTTTCCCAAGTCCCACGTGCATGTTTTTCCAGAACCATGGAAAGTGGAGGTATAAGAGATTTGTCAGGATTTGTGTCTGTTCTCCTCTCTGGGCAGGTTTAGTTCTTCTTCTCTGTTTCTAGGGCTTTGTCTAGTGTAGCTAAATACCCTGAACATGTGGCTCCTGTTGGTGGACTGTTGAATTTAGGGGCTAATTTAGAAGTTGAAGGTCTTAGCTATACTTGGAAGTCTACCATAATGATTTTTCTGAAATAGTAAATTCATTATATGCCTGTTGTGTATGCAAGGCCAAGCCCAAATGAACTGCTGGCATTTGTACCATGTGCAAGCTCCTATTCAGCAGCTTGTGCCTGGCTCTGGGTGTCAGGACATCTTTTTGTTTCTACCAATCAAGCTTGTTCAGACCACCTTAAAACAATACTTATCCCTCGTTAGAGTTCACCCTCTTGAGCTATTTATAAACTTTTATCATCACCTCACTGACCACCCTTGTCATCGCTTAGCTGAACACCATATTCCAGGTGTAGCTGCATAAGAGATGGGAATGTTCCTCCATAGCTTGTGACCTGGTGTCACTGCAGCAAATCAATATGTGTTTGCTCAATATGGGAGCAGGAAAAGATATATCTTAAAAATATACTTGAACACTGGACAAAGAGGATTTCAGAGACGATATATGGTCTGAGTTAAAGCAGCAGCCTTGCAAGGCCTCTTTGCTTGTAAGTGCTAAGTTGCAGAGCATTTATTTTTCTTTACCAGGCTCAATTAAAAATAATTCATGTACTAATATACAAAAGGTGGGGTTTGGTGGTGGTTGCCTTTGGCTTTTTAATCTTAATGAAGAAAGGTAATTGTCTGGTTTGGATAAAATAAGGCTACAGCAGTAGCATCAAAACTTTCTCTCCACCCTCCAAAAATGTTTTCAGCTCCACTGGGCTTTCCACATCTGGACTCCAGAACACTGAGGGGAGAAAACTGGAAACCCTGGGAGACATTTTCTTTTTTTTTTGCAGCGCTGGTGGTCTTCATAATTTTGGTTCCTTTTTTTTGGTTTTCTTTAATTCAATTAGAGAGGGAAGAAATACTAATAAAAGAAACCTTACTCCAGAGAGTTGTAAACTCTTTGGTTTTAAGACCAGTACATGGTCTCCTCTTAAATACATCTTTGTCATGAATGTCAGTTTCTGATTTTGAAATGCTGAAAAGCTATTTAAAGAGAGGGAATAAACATCTGAATTCATTTAGTGTTGTTTAGCTCTTTCCTCAAACAAATCATGAGTGAATTTCAGGAAAATTTAGGGAATCTGGAACAGTGATTGTTTACCTGTGCTTCTTGAGGCATGAATCAAAGACTTAGGTGATACAAGCAGATGCTTTGGTGACACGTAACATTTAAGATTCCAAATTAATACTTAGCATGGCTGTTGTCTGCAGAGAGAGAAGTGCATATTTACATGTATTTATGTATTTCAATGGACATCTTACTGTCCATATTATCTCTGTTGAAAAGAAATTTAAAAGTTATGTTCACTCTTCTTGAAAAATAAGCTACCACTTTGTCTGTTATTGGTTACTAGAGAAGCATTCATGGTTGTAAGAGGCAAAGAACGAGAGCATCATAAAATTACCATGGTGTGGAAAATAGCATTAATTTCCAAATTAAAGCATCATTGTGATGACACTTAAGATGTGAGCCAAGATGTTGCTCTGAGAACAGGGCTGGCTTAGAATGGAGACTGTACTGTTACTGCTATGTGGTCCTCAGTGATTCCATCCATTGACAGAACAGGCTTCTATTTATGGGTTTGGGCTTTTTCCTCTGATGTAGCAAAGTGGTAAAAACTTCTGCTTGATAGAGGTCTTGTTCCTAAGAATTTTCACTGTCCCCTGTCCAGGAACTCTAGGAAAATAGACAACTGACGCAAGTTATAAATGGCAGTCACTACAATAGTTCGTAATTCTTTGGAATTATTAGAAAGCATATGGTGTGAAGGGACAAAAGTAGGATGGCCTTTATTCACTCTTATGGAGGGCATTCCCACACAACTTCACAAAAAAAGCTAGTGATTTTTCTTGTGTATATCTAAGCTCAGTGACTGTTCGGGGGAAGGAGGAGATTTGCCTCTTGGCTTCTTTTTAGGAATGTGTGCTACATTTAGAAAGGCAAAAAAATCAAAAAAGTCAGATAAATTTATTTCAGAAGCTGCTTAGAATAAAGGCACTTACACAGCTTGCATGTTGATGTGTTGTGTTATATAAATGGATTCTTCTGAAAATGTTTTAACTGTTTCCTCAGAAAATCAAATGCAATTCTAATGTGTGTGATGTAGATTTCATGTTGCCCAGCACTTTTAAGCCTTTCCATTTCTCTTTCTGTGGAAAATAATTGAACTTTACTGTATAGATTTGCTTGCAACTTTGCCAGAGAATTCTTGCTGTTCTATACACCTTTGCTTTTTATAATTCAGCAGTAGGTGGTATCTGCTAAAGTATAAATCTTATATTAGTCACTGCTAGTAAAATCCCTCAGTGCTGGTAATGCATAAGAAAGGAAGAAATTGGTCAAAACCCAAACCAGAAGATACTGGAGAAGCTGGAAAAAGGCAGAGAAGAAGCCAAGTCATTGAAAATCTTTGAGGGCAGGCAGGTGGAAAAAGGGCACCCAAAAGCCATTTCAAAGAGAGGAATTGCCAAGAGACTGTGAGGATGCATCACTTGCAGGGCGTGCATGTGTGCATTTGTCCTGGAAATGGTTTTATACTCTAGTGAATTACAAGCCTAAACTAACATAAGGAGGTTTTTGAATGTATCTTCTATGGGAGGGCTGTTAAGGAAGGTTTGCTACTGCACCTAAAGGGGTGAAACTATCTGAAATGCTAAGTCATCTGTGCAGCACATGAACCAGCTGGCCAGGTTGCAGTATCTACCATTTACAGAAAGAAAAATCACGAGCACAGCTATTAATATCATAACTGATTTTATACGGCTTTTGTTTGTTTGTTTTTGTGTAGAGGTTTTTTCCAACCGAGACTTTTTTTATACCTCTGTCTCTTCTGTTTCAGTAGATAAAGTGAATGAAACCATGTGAGATACTGGGAAGATTTTCAGCAGGTAGAGAGGAAACTAGTATCCAGTTACTATTGAAAGTCCGAATGTATTCCTGTTTCAGCTGCCTGATCTGTTTAGGGCCAAGTTTTGGTGGATAGTTTAGGTAATCTAGATATAATATATCTACTACAAAAACCATATCAGATTTAGTGGGTTATTGATCTTTATGTATTAAAGTTCATGTATACTTTCAGCTATTAGTTGTTTTGTATTTAATAAACCTGATGTTGGTTACAGGACTGTTGGTGGGGAATTCAGATCTCATCAACATCTCATTCAGACAAACTGATAACATCAGGAAAAATCCATGATTTTCAGCTATTGGATTCTAAAATTTTTACAGGTTTGCACAAGTGAATATTAAAATAACCTGTTAACAAATGTGTTTGAGGAGAAAATTTCTAGATAAAACAGAATGTTATGTAATAAATAGTGGATCGGTGACTGAAATACTGCTCAGATAAAATTGTGATGCAAACATTTGAAAGCTTGGCTAAATTTAGGGTGCCATAGAATTATGACACCCATAATGATCTGATCAGTAAAGCTAGTTATAAGCTATGCTTTTAAGCTGACATATCTCAAGTTTAAAATAGATAAAATCCCTTGTTACCATTAAGGTACTATTGAAATGAAAGATCCTTGAACAATTTTTATATCACACCTGCATATTCCAGGAAGTCTAATGATTTCTTTTAAATGATGCTCCTTTTATTTATTTATATATTTATTTTTCCTTTGTGACCTTTTTTTTGTTGAATCTTTCCATTTTTATCCTTTTCCTTTTATCACCTTTTTCCCTTAACTCCTTTCATGATAAACTATTTTCCCTCAAATGCACAGGCCTGAAACTCAGCTGGCCCAGTTTTTGCAACAACAAAACCAATTGACTCTGTAGGAGCAGTCTGACTTGGTGATCACAACAGGTCTTTTTTTCTTTGGACTACTTTTACAGGTTACATAGCTTTTTCCTGCTTTCAAGTAAGTTCTTTCCCAATTTAACCCTAATAATAAATAAACATATGTATTTTATAAATTTTCTATCAAACTGCCACTTCCTTATAGAAGTCTGCAACTGGCATTTTATATTTTAATTTCCTTCTGTTCTAAGATATTCTCTTGGTTTCAAAATTTGAAATGTATCAATATTTTGTGTTATTCAGTATTTGGTGAGGAATGATAGTATTTAGCAGTTTATGGTTTGTATGTTGAAGTCTTTTGATCCAAAAGCCATGGGTGGCCTAGTTTTGAATACTTTTTATATTTAATATATAATTCCTTGGGATAAAGAATCTCTCTCTCCATTGAGGAAA